ACTGTACAAGAAAGGTTGGTGAATTGAGAGTACTAATTTATTTTTAGTTGTTGTATGTCTTAGTCTAGTCACGGGACTCATTAGTGTCCTGTAAATATCAATTATTTTTTAATCTGTCAAGTAAGTAAGTTCCTAACGTAAGTCTGCCATGCCATAGGTTTGTGAGTAAGAGGAATAAGTGTTTTTCAAAGTACGTTTGTCGAGTATTTAAGGCTTTCAAAGAATTTTATATGCCTCCGTGAAATGAAGTCCCCTGCCTTTATTAATTCGAGAGTGGTACCTAATAGGTTCGTATGTGTTTTATGTAAAGTTGTATGTCTTACTAGTTTTCTCAGCCTCCTTTTCTGAAACTGTTGGAGCTTCTTCATTATTGCCAGTGATATGCTAGATAGTATCGGGAGTACCAAGATCTTATATATTTCAATTGTATAAATTATTATAAATAGATTTTTTTTTTCATATCCCCTCTTTATTTATTTTTCACTTGGATCCTTTTCATTGTTTTCATAGTAGTCCTTTTACAGCTTAAAAGCATTGTAAGGTGTATTTTTTGTCGTTTATGAGTATTTTGTTCTTCATCTGTAATATAAAAGGTGATGGGGCTCACCTCAGGCTTGAGTTGACCTTATCCTCTAGAGCTTACAACTAAATTAATAACAACATCTATCTCATGTAATTTGTTGCCAACGTTTTGGAATTTGGGCTGGTAATAAGTTGTTGAAAAGAGGGTTTGCCAATTGTTGGGATTTTTCGAAAAATGATTTTTTTTCGTTTTGCCAGAAATTCTTTGGCAATAGTTGATAAAAGATAAATAGATAAAATTATGTTCCCATATACATACTATATATTTATAGTAAATCTTCGAGAGTAGAAAAAAATCTCTTTGTGGGTTACAATTTCCTATTTCTTCTAGAGCATGTGCTGTAAATGAAAAAATAAAAGAGGTTGACTGTTTGCCGAAACTTAATATGGTTTTTTTAATTTTTTACCCAGGGCACTGTAAAGATATGACGAAAATTGGACACTTATCGTAATTTGTACCTTTACAAATTTCTTACCTATTAGATGCAGGAAAGCAGAAATTTACTATGAATTTTTAAAAGAAAAAAAATATTCAGTTTAGTTTTAATTTGAAATTTTAACTAGCGTTTGCTGTGTGAGTACTTAAAACTTATTTCAAAACTCTTGATGTAAAGAATATTTTGAGAAAGAGTTCATGAATAGTTGAACGAGTGGGGGGAAGAGGGGGGTATCTAAAAACTTTTAAAGACACTTCAGACTTCGCTGAGTGAACTTCACATACTCAACTTTGAAAGGCAAGTCCTCCAATTTACTTTTCTGAATCGGGCTATTTCTTAAACCTTATAGCTTAGCAGTATAGATTCCTTTCTTTGAGGCTTTCTTTGATATTTTTTTTATCCAGAAAAAATTATATAATGTCAATGTAATGAAATAATATGTTACCTGAAATTTATTTATGAAATTTTTATTCAGAAAATTTAATATTAAATGATCATTATGAATAAGGAAACATTATATCTTTATTTATTACTTTTTAAAAAATCGATTAAGCAGAAACAGAATTAAGAAAAGTTTAAAGGAAGATTTTATTTTTTTAATTAATAACTATCAAGAAAAAATATTCAATTTTTAAAGATAACTGTTCTAAATGAAAAATAATATTTTTTATTATTTATTGCTGGGTGAAACAATATCAAAGAAAGGAATCTATACTGTTAAGCTATAAAGTTTAAGAAATAAATATACTTATTTATTTTTACTTTTTTATTTTTGACTGATCACCCCAACCATTCTGCTTTTCAATCATTCACTAGAGTTTATCATTTATTCACAAAAAATAAATAAATGTATATGATATGAAATTATAAGTATTGAAAAATGGGAATAACTTGATAAATTTAAAGAAAAGTAGAAGTGCGAAACACCTTCGATGTAAGCATAAGCATTTTAGTACAGTTTCGTTGGAAACTTAAAAACCTTATGAAGAGAAACTAATACTTCAATGTATCAAACCTAAATTTTATATTCAACAGAAAAAACATTTTTCTTAATTTATCATGTATTTTTCAAGCGCCATCAAAGCGCTAACTTTAACTCCAGAATCGCATTGAGATGTAAAACTCCAAAGAATAGTTGCACAAGTTGTTAAGTTGCTCAGCCTCGAGAAGTTTAGCGTTGAGTCAAATTGTTTTAGGCTCTTTCATTATACCCTTTAGAGTTTCTATTGTACCCTAACACTCGGAGGTGCAACAACTTTTAATGGATATGCGACACTCAAAGAAGTCCTAGTAATGTTTAAATTGAAATTGTTAAACTTAAGTAAAACGATTTATGTAATTTAGGCAATATGGTAGATATGGTAGTTGAAAATGGTAGATCATTGATGAAAATTATTGTCCTGAAAAACTTTTTTTTTGTTTAAAATAATTGAAATATTTCAAATACAAAGCCTCGAGTCTCTGAACTTCTTTGTGAAAAAGTAACTAGATTAGTAGGGCTAAAAGTACCAATCTGAGTCAAAAATAATTTCTACTCAGCGTACTGTGGTAAGTGAGAGTTATGTGATGCGCTCATCAGCCTTTTAAAATTAAAGACATTATTAAAGTTGCTTTTCACGGAGTTCCAAGTTTGAGTTTATGGACTTCCAACTGAAAAATTCCGATTGGGAATATGTTTATACAGATGGGTCAAAAACTCAAGATGGAGTCGGTGCGGGCACTGTTCCTGACAATGTATAAATGTTCTCACTACCCCCATATTGCACTTCCTACCATGCAAAACTGTTTACAATAAATCGTGCTATTTGTAGCCTCAACTGCAATAAACAAAAAATTTATATTTGTACAGATTCAAAATTTGCTCTAATTAAAGCTACGGAAAATTCCCTTTCAACTAACCCATTAGACACAGATACAGTTAGGCATATAAAAACATTGGAGAGTGTTGGATGTAAGATACATTTTTTGTGGTTACCGGGTTACTCAGGTATTAGAGGTAATGGGCTAGCCAATATCATGGCAAAAGAAGTAGTCAAGGAAGGAACTCCAGTAGGGGATGGTTTTCCAAAGGAAGTAGTAGCTTTGGTGAAGAGAAAGGCTCAGAAGAAATGGCTGTGTCTCTGTCATGTTTTAAGAGACAATAAGTTGAGAGTGATCGAGCCCTCTGTAGTTCCAAGTCGAGCGGATCTCCAGTTGATCAGAAGAGAGGAAATAATCCTGACAAGTTTCCGAATCGGACACTCAGGGCTAACTCATGAGTACCTAATGACAAAGGGGACAACCCCTCAGTGTGTCTGCTGCGGGGTCAATTTAACAATCAGCCACATTTTGACTGAATGTTATGCATATGAAGCACCACGGAATTAATTGGGATTGGAGAATAATATATCTAAAATTTTGAAAAACACGACCAAATTGGCAAAAAAATAGTTGTTGTTTCTTCACATAACACAGCTATGTAACTAAATTTAATTTTTACTTACATTTTTTGGAAATTTTAATCTTTTAAATATTTGTTATTTTCAAATTTATTGTTAAATAACTACTAATGACCCGTAAGAGGTTGAGGTTGATAAATAAAGTTGCTTTTCGACTTTTTTTTTTATGGGGAGAAGTAGTTCAAGAGGTTCAACCAAACCCAATTAACCCAGAATGGAAAGGTCGATATTCATTCAGTGATTCCTGCCGAATTAAATTTCATCTCATCCCAGCAGGATTCGAATAGGTATCACTTGACTCAAGAATGTTACAGCAGGCGACGATGTTGCACGCTCGACCATCAGAGCCTCAGTTGCTGTTCAAATTTAAAATTAAAAAAAACAAAACATGTTGAATTGAGCAATCAGATTTTGAAGGCTTTCGACGGGAAGAGGTTTTTAGACAGTGATAGTTTTTCGTAATGGTGTGGATCTGAGGGTTTTCAAAACTTAAATTGTGTACTTACTTTTAGGATAATAGTGGACTTATATTAAATATTTATGTCGAAACATTTTGATACTACCAATTACTAAAAAAACAAAAAAAAAAACATATTTTAACCAACCAGAAATAAAGAGGAGATGTGCCCAAAATATCGTTAGGTAGACCTTTTTTTTTGTAGAAAACTGCCCAAGTACCTGCAAACAAAAACAATTTGTGATAAATAATGTATTTAATAGTTTTAGAATGTTTAAAAACATATATATTTACGCTCTATATTTATGAGCTGTTTTACAATAATATTACATACTGTATTATTAAATTAATAACTTATAGTAATAGTAATGCTTATTGTAAATATATAGGATTTCTTGTAAAAGAGTTATAACGTGAAACCTATTGAAGCGAAACATTATTGGCAGATATATTGCCGTTTGGATCTCAGTTACTTGAAAATCTCTGCAAGAAATAAAAGAGAAAAAGTTTACAGGTTATTATTTTAAAGTTTATTTTATTTTTCCTGGGATAACCTAAGTAAACTTTTAAAATATAAGTTATTACAATTCGTATTTTTATTTAATTTAATTATGTAGCTCCTATCTCCAGTATTCAGTTCTCCACTAGGTTTGTTACAGAAACAAAACCGAATAAATAGATATATATTATGTTGTTTATTTTTCTCTGTGATTAAAAGCTTCAACGGCTTTAATATGCTTGATAGTTCTCTGATTACCTCAAACATCGATTACTCATGAGATACAACATTGTATGACATTATATTTTTCACACACAACCTCTCCTACTAATACGAGGTCTCCCAAATCGCGGCGAATAGATTAACGATATGTTAAAAAGAATCACTTTCTTTACATAAATATTCTACTTAACCCATTTTTTTCTTAAATATAGCTACATGGAAACTTTTTTGAATTAGTTTGTATTTTGATTTTCCTTTTTTTTTTTCGAACTTTTAATATTAAAGAGTAATTAAGAATAGTTTTAAATGTATTCTGAATAGAAAATTATCCAATATAATCGAAAAGCAATAATACCTCTAGAATTACTGATAAATAATATAACGTGTATGAGATACGAAAATAGCCAATATGGCACCAAGGATTAGAGACTTGATGAGGTTCTGGAACTGGGACCTGGAGGCGACATGGTTCAGTGACCTCGTAGGCGGACTGGAATTAAGCTGGACAACTTCTAAGGAAGTGGAAGAGACGTCCCGTTGGATATCCTCAGTCAGGGATGTCTTCCTCATCACTTATTGCCGTGTCGCTTCTGATAACTTCCACAATATCTCTCGAAGGCATCGGTAGTAAAAATTACTGTTTTGAACGCTCTTATATCACATAAAATGTGTTTCTAGCTATTTTTGAACTGTGTAGAAACATTTATTTCGCTTGGTAAATGTTGTTGTGTTGCGTGATAAAGGCATTCTGATAAAGCTATTTTAATTTATAGGTTGAGGCGGTTTATGCAAAGTGATATTGGTGTTAATATCGATCAGAAGCTTTCGAAAATATCATTAAATATTTTTTAAATGATGGCTTATCAAATTATTCAGCAAGTGATATTTGTCAGGTTATGTTTAGAAATCCTTCCACTAAAAATCACATACGACTGACTATATTTGGTATTGCACTTTTCTTTTTAAAAAGTTACACACATCCTACCCATTCATAATTGATTGATTCGCACGTTGAAGATATGGTGGATACTGGAGGCGTGGCCACCACAGCCCACCGTAGTGTGACGAATAGCATTAGTAAATAGAAATATCAAATATCTGTATTTATGAACAAGTAATAATTATAATAGATTAATATGAATCATAAGGAACGAAATTGTGGACGAAGAATTCCATGAACAGTTAGAAAAGATAAATATTCTGTAGTTTCAATGCTTTACAATAGATAAATAATAAGATTGGGTTTATAATGAGGTATAATTCGTTGATTTTATCGAGCCCAATAGCCGTTGTAACTGTTCGACTATCGGTGATTTAAACGATGAATAAAGAAGCGACTTCATTTACATCTATGAGTTTAGCCTAGCTCTAATGGATTTGCAATGCTATCTCAGAACTCCGAGCTGAGTTAAAAACTTACTTATAATTTATATATATGTTGCCTGTAAAATGTAATACATCATTTTGTTAAATAATTTAAAATCCGATAGGTATCGAATTTCTTTTAATTATTCTAGAATAATGAACGGTGAAATTTAATGAATAATCAAGCGGTATTGTTTAATATACGTATAATGAAATATCCTTGGATAACATTTGACGCGAAGCTAAAAAATGATTATTGTGAATAGCAAATTTATTTGATTTAGAGAGAATCGGGTTGGGTGAATACGATTACTCTACTAGAGGAAACTCTACTAAACGTTTACTTAGTAAATACATATAAATTGCGATTTAAATTTTAAATTTGGCTATTAGGGCCCACTTTAAGATGCCATTATTTCCTGGCTTAACGGGCAAAGAGCATGATTCCCTGGGATCATAATAGCTTTTCGATTAGAGAACATTTATGAAAGCAAAATAGGCTTAACGTTTATACTCTCCTTATTAGTTCGTAATTGAATTAAATATGTTTGGTTTGTAACTTCCGATCTGTTATTTCATTTTACAAGGGAGATTTCGAAATTCGTTGAATATTTAACAGACATCTTTTATATCAGGAATCGAAAAAAATGTATAAATATGTTTTTATTCAACATTATTAATTTATAAGAAAAACAAAAAATAATTTTCAGGATATTACGGAAACATTTCGTAAACAAAATCTTCGATATTTCAGATACTAGTGAGCATCTAAACTATTCAGGCATAGACAAGTCGGAAAAATACAAGATCGTAATATTTTAGAACAAAGACAAGACACTACAAATTAACAGTTAAAATAAAAAAAAAATACGTATGTTATTTTGAATATAAATTAACGAAATTCATGGAGGAAAATCTATATCACTTGCCTATTATAATCATATTTGAGTATACATCCCAAGAAATACTTAGGCTGGAAATGGTTAGCGGTAATTGCGGTAACAGAGGCCACTCTAGCTGCCACATGTAAACGAAATAACTATGGGAATGTAATTTCAATTGTGTGAGATAACATCGATTTCATATATTCTGATATTAGTCAAATTGGAAATGTTTGTTTTGATCGTTAAATAAATTTCGATTCCAGGAATTCCAATAAGGCACAATTTAGGAAAGTCCAGCAAGACGAATGACAGAATGAGATGTTGGACCGAACGGGGAGAAGAATGAAAGAAATACGAGAAGACTTTGCAAAGAGAGGTCCTGGAATGATACAGGGAGGGTCCTGGAACAGGGTTTACAGAGAGACACCTCAATGGTTAGCGGAGTGATTAGTTGTGAGTAATGAGTAATTTGAGTGATGATTATGATCACTGTTTTACATTACAAGTTACTTTGACTAAATTAAATAATAATATATATTCCTGTAATAATAAAAGTCTACTACCATAGAATTTAATTATCATATAAATTTCAAGTTAGGAGTTTATGTTGGTGTTTAAATTTCATTTATGTCTAACTACACCATCAATACTTAGTTGTTATGCCGAGGTGAAGTTGCTCTACTCATTTCCGACGGCAACATTTTTTTGGTGTACTCCTACCGAACCTTAACAACCAAGAAACCATTTGACCTTCTTGATTTATTTAGTTTTTGTCTCTGTCCATTTTTTAAACACGAGATTCCAGTGGACCAACCTTTATACTCTTCACAAAACTGTTCCCTTTAAAAAGGGAAAAACGAAATTGTCAAGAACTTCAGTCAAAATTTCTTTAATGAGTTATCCAATGATTCGACCCAAACATGTAGATCATCACCAAAGCTATCGTTTGGAAGTGGAAACTGTTCTTCCAAATGGTGGCCCTGATGATGACACACATGTTTAGGTCAAAACGTCAGCTAACCTATTCAAGAAATTTAATACAAAGAACAAAAATTTTGTTCCACCCTTATAATTCAACAGTCGACCACTTACCCGTTTCCCTTGAAAAAAAAAACACATCATCCGTGCTACCTTGGTTTTTAATTTCTTTCTCACCTTTCATTTCTTACTCAAATCCTCATATTTAACTCCATCTTAACACCAATTATTCTCTCATCTCCTAAGTAATCGAACTTCCAAATATATTTAGAAATAAATGTTCGTATTTTAGTGTTGTCAGCTCCTGTTTGCTGTTATTTCTTAGTTCTATATTGTTTATAATGCTTATCAGCACACATATTTAAACAAACTCCTATGTATATATTAATTTAATCTGTTTACTTGTTCTTATCCTTTATATTAATTCTAAGGTTCCATAATTCTGTAATTTAATTATTTCTTGAATGCCTTTTTATGCCAGACGATAGTCACTTCTTTGTTAATTTCCATTTTTTTTAGAGGACTAAATGTTCCACAATTAAATTTACTTTTCTATCTTCTCTCCTCTATTCAGGTTTAATGTCCTTATTTAGTGATATATAAAAATGAAATCAAAACAATATATTAAAAACAAACAAAGATGTGTGATTTACAGGGCTGCTGAATGAAATGCTGAACATTTCCCTCGTTTATAATATGCAGGAGGGATTTTTAGTTGTTGTGATATTCTAATCCATATCTTTAATAAAACTCGTCATTATTTGGTTTTCGACACTACTTTTTTCTCTCTCAAATACGGCGTCGCGTTAAGATAAAATTTTAAGTAATAGCTTATTACAAAGAGGATGAATTCATGAACATTTCCCTTACTTACAATATGCAGATCCGATTTTTAGTTTTTGAGATATTTTAATCCATATGCAAAAATACTTCAATTAGTCGACTACAACCGACTTTACCCGAGTGTTACAGGATATCTCTCAGTCTATATCTGACGGCTAAATCTAATTCATTCCTCACAAAAAAAAGCCTAAAGAAGTTTTCACTTAAAAAAAATATGAGTGATCGTTTGAGTTGATGTATGTGATAAAGCACGCACTTAAGACCAATATTTGATTTTTTGATAGACACAGAATGAATACCTCCTAAATATGCTAAATCAAAGACAAATAATTTTGTGTTTATATTGATCTTAGTACTATCTCCACTGGTATATTCTAAACGTTTAATATATTATTATAGAAATATATCTACTTGGTAAGGGTACCGTTATGTTTTGTCCTGTCCATATGGGTCGTTCTACGCCATGACCATTCCTGATGGCCATTATGCCAGAAAGGGATATCGCAGGAGGATCAGAATAAGCGCGACAAAGGGAACGGGAAGTTGAATACAAAGCCTGGGCTGAGGAAGAAGATATGCTTCATAAATCCCAAGGAAGGGCTATCTTTGTGGACATCGCCGGCCTGGCAAATGTTTGAGGACGTGACCGGACCCTCAGCCTCTTGTCTCCTCCGTACCCAGGTATTTACTTCACCTGGATAAGTATTCCTCCAGCAGTGCTGTATCATGATATTAAGATTAAATCTTCATGTCTTTAACAAGAAAAACAAGAAAAAATAGATTATTATTTATTTATAAACCACAATATTAGGTAGTAACATGAAATTTGAAATAAGCTCATTTTTGTTTTTATCTTGAATAGTGTTGCCCAAATGCGAGACCGAGACGAGTCTTGGTCTTGCAAACCCAGTCTCGGGTTAGCTTATTACTAGAGAAATATTACTGTATTTTTTTAAATAGGAGGAAGCTAACTAAGTATGAATAAAGAATTAGAAGAGTTAAATGCAAAAGTATATTGATTACACCATTTCTTTCAACTAAACTTGCCAAGTATTAGTAACTATTTTGCCTCAAGTTTTATTCGAAAAATCGATTTTGTTTCCCGTCTTGGTCTTGGTCTTGCAACAGATAGAAGTTGTTGCAAAGTGCAAGACCAAGACCGATTTTGGGCAACACTAATCTTGACCTATATCACATATTATGTAACTGTCGTGGTGGGCTGTAGTGGTTTCTTGTTCACATTAGAATATCTGTCAGTAAATTCATGTTGTAAGTTAGTATTTTTTGATAGTTATTATAATTTTCTTTTGCTGTGTCTGATATTCTATTAGGATCTACAGGCTAGAATTTTGGGTTCCTATCTTCATTTTCTAACATCAAACGCATCCAATCCTTTCAGTCACAAGTCCTTCGACCAATAGTCGATGCTCTATTTTATGTAACCAACCCTACACAGTCGTAATTTACATAGACAAGCTTTGTATCAGTTGATAACATTTTTTTGAGGAATCACAAAACTGAAGAATATAACGAATTAGTAGACAAAATGCTCCAGAACTTCCAAAAAATAGAAGCTAATATGAGTGTCCTTAACATCCCATTTGTCCTAGACCTTACCCTGCCACTTGCACGAATCCTATCTAGTACCA